GTTTATTCACAATTAGGGTAAATAAATCAAAATAATCAATCTTATATATTGTATATGATATATAATTAAATTTAAATGATATAAACATAGTAATATAGCACACTTTTAATATGGATATTTATTAAATGAGGTTTCTACTCATATGATTTTATGATTATTTGCATATTTGTGTAACAAAACTTTACACCAATGATTTATATATTACGTTATGATTATTTGAATTTAAGTATTTTCTATTTTACATATACACTTCCATAAATTAAAAGGAATGAAGTTATTATAGTTAATATATGCAAATCGTTATCAAATCGTATATTTTCCTTTTCTTCCATTACATGTGTGCGATGTATATAAATATATAAACTATGTTACATGCGTTATATGCGTCTCTAATTATTTTTTCCTAGCAAATTTCAATTGAACCTAAAGCCGCCACGTCAGTTTAATTGATATGCTAATTGATTGACAACTAAGCAAGATTACTTTTTAATTAATACAAACTTGAGGTTATATCTTTTCAAATGTTTCTCAATTAATATATAGGGGATTTTGATCAACTAAAACAAAAATAGAATAAGTACAAGCATCTTATGAAAAATTCAATAAACATTTTAGTTGATCCTACAATATCTAATATATTTATTTTTGAGATTTTGGTATATTTTTTACTGTTTTAATATATGATCTATAGTTTTGAATTGATTTTGTTATTCATAACTTATAATAAATTTTTTAATCGGTATCTTTCATGCATGATCTGCTTGATCTACACTTATCCCACTTGATCTACATTTGTCCTCCTTGTTCGAATAAACCGTTTGATCTGCATCGCTTAATTTATTTTTATCATTCAAATCCAAAAAATGTAACCTTACAGAATTAACAGAACGTTTAACCTTTCTTCAACCGGTGTAAAGAGTTTCTAGAAGTGAGTATAAAGTGTAGAGAGAACTTAAAAAAGCACAGATCCATTGAACTACAACCACTTCAGTCGAATAAAAAATGCCAAAAGCCCTTTCACTAACCAACCACAAGCTACAAACTTTTAACGTATGAAAACAGACAAAACTAAAAAAAAAACAGACCAAACAAATACATAATGTTTACGGTGCAGATCAACCAAACAGATAAAGTAACTCGCCCGAGGTTCCAAAAAGTGAGGAACTCCCTTCATGTGACCCAACCAGAGATGAAAAGATTGTTTGGCCCGAGGATGTGAAGCTCTCTGGCTTTGATACAAGAGTTTAACACGGCGATATCACTAATACTAACCATTTCAAACTTAATCTCAGGTTTGAATACGTATCATAACATGATTACAACACAAATACGAGATCATGATAATTTAAACAGACGGGATCTTGGCCACAGCTCAGAAATGAGATATATTCCGCAAAAACCAGTTTAAACAATCTATAAAAACAGTGGATATATATATAGCAGAACAAAAACAGAGGATGGTCGATCATCTACAAAAAGATTCAAGGTTCTGTAATGACAAGCAAGAGGCTATTGTTGTTGTAAGAGGAATAGCAATGAGCATTGAGAGAAAAGTGAGTTTTTAAAAGCCAGCCCAGCCAGCAGGTTGAGCAGCTTTCTGGTTTTCTCTCATCTTTGTGTTCCCAAATCTCTGTGAAGTGTTTCCAGAACTTACAGATTTTGGTGTTGCAGACGCTGAAGACGTTGCAGCAGCTCTGAAAGACTCTGTCTCGAACCCCCATGGCTCAAAACCTTGGCTTGCTGGAGCAGCAGGAGCTGAAGAAGCTGGTTTACTTTTGGTTCTCATAGAATGATTCATGGTATTACCCTTTGATGCAGATTCCAACACTGGTTTCGGTTCATCGCTAAAAGGTTGCCATGAGTTTGGATCTGAGCTTCCCGTTGACCAATCAGATCTGTCTGTTTGCTGAAGATCCCAAACACTTCCTCCAACCCTATCTCTCTGTTTCAACAAGAACAATACAATCACAATATGTCAAGAAAACTTGTGCAATCTTAGGTGGTGTTGGTCTAACGCTTAGATTAGGCTATTACCGATGGAGTTGATGACACGGAACGCATCCCTGGAGAGGTTTGGTTTTGTGAAAGGTCTCTGCTTGGTGAGGCTGATGCAGATTTAGAGGCAAGTGTTTGCTTGAGATCCTGCAACTCTTGCCTCTGGGATCTGCAGATAGCAGAAAGCTTTTCAAACTTAGCAGTAATCTCAGCCTTCTCTGAACTTGTTTGCTTCAACTCTTCTTTTAACCTCTCTATCTCAGCCTCCAATGCCTCTTCCTTTGCATTTTTATTACCATTATCAAACTTCGCCGTATCAAAGTCAGCAACAAACGAGTTAAAAGCATCGTCCTTCGACACTCTTGCCATGTTACTGGCTGCAGCAGGACTTGTATCCTTGCCTCGAGCCTCTCCTCTCACAGGACTAGGCTTTTTAGATGTGTTGCTGTTTGGTTCATCAAACACAGGCATACTTTTGTTGTCTTCTGACACAACAGAGGTTTGAGCATGCTGTGTCGCCCAAAAGGCACCAAGAGGACCTCCACTAGCTTGTTCTGGTGGAGGTGGTGGATTTCTACGAGGTGCTGGAGAAGATCTGCTTGCTGGATTTGGAGAGCCGTCATTAGATTGCATTTCAGGTGGTTGATCAGGTAATGATTTCTGTAAATTAGCAGGTAGCTGCTCGTTGACACGAAACCAAATCTGTACATGGAAATGTTATTAGCCACATTACAAGTTGCATCAAAGTATCATTATTGTTACCTGTGTTATATCTGGTCGTTCATCAGGTGAACCTTGAAGCATGTCTCTAATGAGATCCGTAACAGAGGAACTGTACTTGGGAGATTCAGGTATACGATAGTTCCCGTTTAAAACCTGAAGCTTTGATTCTCCATCAAATGCACTCTTGAAATAGCATATCCGAAACAAAAGACATCCAAGAGCCTGAAACATTGCAAAAATCTTTAGTGTTGACCTCATTGATTCATCTATCAAGAGAAGCGTTTTAAAAATGACATACCCATATGTCGACCTTCTCACTTATAATCTCCCTTCGGAAGAGATCCCACATCTATTTGCCAATAAAGAGACATGAGATGAGAATCAAACATTGCTCCTTATCATCTGTATAAATGCACATGTCTAGTCAAACCTCAGGAGCTCTATATGCTGGTGTTGTGTGTTTCCTAATATTGTCTTCTTCAATTCCCATCTCTTCTGCTCTTTCAAATATCTTGTGATTTGTTGAAACGCTTCCGAAATCACATAACTTCCACAGTCCATCTGAGCTCAATAGAAGATTCTCTGCCTTCAAGTCTCTGAGACAATAACAGTAACACTAATACAGTAATGTATCTGGCTGATGTAAAAAAAAAAACAAAAGAAATCTAATGAACCCACCTGTGAGCAATGCGTGGGGATAGAGAATGCATCGCAAAGACAGCATTACACACATCTCTGAAAATCAAAAGAGCCTGTTTCTCTTCAAAGTAACCAGCACCTCTGTTCTCAAGCACTTCCACAAGAGATTTCCCACAAAACTCCATAGCCAAAAGAGCTTCCTTTTTGTTCCTCCCCATATCTAAGATACCATGTGCGTACAGCGTGACGACATTGGGATGTCCTTTCAGAGATTTCAGGACAGATATCTCTTTCATCACAAGCTCAAGCGACTCCTCGTCGTTGCATATGATGTGCTTCAAAGCGTACTGCTTTGACGCGTGGTTTGTATCTTGAGCTAAGTAAACGCTGGAGAAACCTCCTTCCGCAATGACGTTTCTTACATGGACTTTAAGGCTTCCTATCTCGAGATACCGACCTTCGAGACCCGCAGGTTCTTTCTGAGCAAATGGTTTGAACTTCCACATGGTTGGATCAGCGGAAGTAATAAGAATGCTGCACAAACATAAATACATTTCAGATAACAAAGGCATAGATCAAACACCCAATATGCTAAAAAAAAACAGTTTCTCAGATAAGAAACCAATCAAGTAGAACTCCAAAACCTAAGAAACTACTACTCTTTGCTCAATGTTTCATAAAATTAAAATACATTTCGGATAACAAAGGCATAGATCAAGCACCCAACATGCTAAAAACAGTTTCTCAAACAAGAAACCAATCAAGTAGAACTCAAAACCTAAGAAACTACTACTCTTTGCTCAATGTTACATAAAATTAAAATAATAGATAATAAAGGCATAGATCAAACACCCAATATGCTAAAAAACAGTTTCTCAGACAAGAAACCAATCAAAGTAGAACTACTACTACTCTTTGTTCAATGTTACATAACTACATAGATGGGAGCTACAAACTGAATCCCTAACCAGATCAATACAGAACCCTCATGAGCTTCTCATCAAAACAAAGAATCCTTATAAGAATCAAAGCTAAAAACCTACTTCACAAGTGTACTATTTGAATCAGATTTCTGATTTTAACTATACTGAATCAGAATGAACATAACACAACACTAACGAGTCCAACGATTAATCGCTCCGATGAAACGGAATCTGAAGCTTCCGGGTGATCGAGATCTCGCCCTCCCCAGAAACAGAGAATCCAATCGGGCTAGAGGGTAAAGATTGTACCTTTCCGGAAACCCAGATGCTGATCGAACCAATCAAATCACCGAAATTTTATATTTTAACTCGAAGATCGAAATCAGAGTATAGATACATTAAGATCTGCGTTCGTTTTTGCGTATAAAGGAGGAAACTTTACAAAAGACAATCTAGAGATAGAGAGATAGAGAGAGAGAGAGAGAGAGAGAGAGAGAGGAAGGAAGCAGCAAATCAGGGAAGCTGAACGTGGACGTGACCATCCCATTATCCATTTTTTTTTATTTTCGTATATATTTCTCGTTGATTATGCTCGTATTTTAATGTTTCTTTTTTTTTTTTTTTTAATCCAGGATCCTCACTTCGTGCGTCATTCCCCTGGGCCCGGTTAAGCAGCGGTTCACTTCATCCGAAAAAGTTTTACCTGAGTTGAGGACAAGACCCAACACCCAGAACTGCATTTAGTGACAAGAATCGACAGTTCACCTACACCTGGCATCGCACCCGTGAGCATGACAATTGGCTCATATGACTCTTATCAATTGGACTACCTCATCCCGTCAAATTGTATTTTAATGTTGATATACGTATAAAGTCATTATTTTCTTAATGTTATTTGTTTGATATGAGTTATATTAAGGTGATTTTTGTTGATAGATGATGAGGAGATATGCACCTGTTGTTTTGTTCCAATTCTAGCCACGTTCTTATCATTATTATATGTAAAACTACTCAAAGTTTGGTTAGGTCAACATGCTGAAACGATGTTGTTTCTCATTGCTATCGGTTTCTAATTCGAATAGTAGTGCTATAGTTGGAGAAAGATGAATGTGCTTGGTGGATATGTAATACCTACTATCAAAATTTATTCTTCACTCTTTGTTTAAAAAGCTGTAGATCAAAGGCCATCTTTGATTATTTATCTAATCTAACTAAAACATAGGCCTATTTTTATCTAGTGTTAACAATTCATACTAAAACTATCTAAATAATTAGATAACTAGATTTTGAATCCGTACATCCGTACGGGTATTTTTTTCATTTTATAAAAATATAACAATACTTTTCAAATATATATGATTTACATTCTATTGTTATATATTGTATAATCTTATAATTTTAGTTATTTTTATATAATATATTGTTGTAAGTTTTAAAAAAAATAATATTCATAAATAATTTTTTATATAATATATTTGTTGTGAGTAACAAAATTTATGTTAACATTTTTTCTATATTAATATTATATGATTTAAAAACTTTAATATGTTTTAAAAGTGAGTGATATTTATTTATTTGAATAAAAGAAAATTTTTAAAATAAAATATTTTCCTTTACCAATTTAATATATTTTATATTCATTTCACCTAGCATTTTATTTTAATATAATATAGAATAACTATATTATAAAATATAACAATTTTTATTTTTAATTAAGATTAATATAGATATTTATATATATTAATTAGGAAATTAAATAATGCATATATTATAAAAAAAAAATTTTTAAACTTCTTAGTAAGATCTTGTTAGATATTTTTGCAACAAATTTATTTCTAATATATTATTAATTATTAAAATATTTTTCTAATTATATACATTTGATTGATTAATATAAATAATTAAATATATCATATTAATGAGATGGTCCAACATGGTACTTCTCTTTTAATAGAGAAGATATGACATATTTGATTATTTACATTAATAATAAACCAATTACAAATTTTAATTTTAATTATAACAAATTCTGTTGATAATATCCAACAAAATCTTACTAATCTTTAAAATATTTTTTATAAAATAACACATTAATTAATTTTTTAATTATAATATAGTATTATTATAAATTAATGTTAATTGAATATTTATTATAAAAAAAAAAGAAAAATATTATTCTACTTTTATAAATTTTATACTTATATTTTGTATTATATTCAATATGTAAGTTGACCTTTTTAAAATATTTTCATTTAAATAAATATCACTCATCTTAAATATGTATTAAAATTCGTAAACTATATTATATTTTTATAAGAAAATAATTTACTAATATAGGTGAAAATTTTATGGGCTTTTTGCAGAATTGACCTGAAACTTGAAGTCAACCACAAAACTAACCTCCTTTTTTGCGGAACTTTATTTTGCCCAATTCACCCTACAAGTTCATATAATTCACGAAAATGCCATCAATTTATTTTTTTTTTCGAAAATGATATATTTACTCTCTCACCCTCATCATCTTCAAGTAATTACAAGATTGCCATTGTCATCAATACTCCAACAACCATGAACAACCAATTTTGAAGCTCTTAATGCCTCCAAATTCCATTTACCCTTCTTCTTTCTCTATTCTCATGAACTAAACTACACATTACAACACATATCTCTCACTTTCTCTCCACAATGAGCTAAAAAAACCCAAGATTTTGATTCTACATTTTTTAGGGTTCATATAGTCAAAGAAATTAAAGATTTAGGGTGGATTACCTTCGTTTGAGATCCTGAGTGCTTGATTCTACATTTTATAGGGTTCATATAGTCAAAGAGTGCTCTCACCAATTGAAGGTATGAAATCGAGTTTTTTTTTTGCGATCTGTTCGTCCAGACGACTGAAATTTCAGTCGTCTGCTTTCGTCCAGTCAACGCAGAAGTTATTTTTGCAATTGACTTTGCAATTTGTTTCCAGAGACGACTGAAATTTCAGTCGTCTACTTTATTTTGGCTACAAAAAAATATCTTAAGAATCTAGACGACTGATATTTCAGTCGTCGTAGGTTAGTTTTGCATTTGCCTAGAAAATTTCAGAATTTTGACTTTCTAGGACGACTGAAATTTCAGTCGTCTGCGAAAAAACTGAAATATCAATATTTTATTGGAACGCACGACTTACAATAGGTTAGTTTTGCAATTGCGAAAAAAACTTTAACTTTCAAGACGACTTACAATTCAGTCGTCCGCAAGACGACTTACAATTCAGTCTTCCAGGATTTTATTCCGAGATTCTGGTTAAACCTCGTAAATCCTAGACGACTGAATTGTAAGTCGTCCCAGGGACGACTGAAATTTCAGTCGTCTAGATTTTTTTTTAAATATTGAAGTTTGTTTTCGCAATTGCAAAACTAACCTACGACGACTGAAATGTAAGTCGTCCAATTTCAAAAAAATATTGATATTTCATTTCTTCGCAGACGACTGAAATGTAAGTCGTCCTAAAAAGTCAAACTTCTGAAATATTCTAGTCAAATGCAAAACTAACCTTCGACGACTGAAATTTCAGTCGTCTGGATTTTTCAGTCGTCCCAACTAACTGATTTCAAAGTCAATTGCAAAAATAACCTCTGCGTTGACCAGACGACTGAATGTTTAGTCGTCTGGACGACTTACATTTCAGTCGTCTGCTTCGATCTCTAATAAACTTTCGTTTTCTTTCTTCTATGTTTTCTAATGTGTTTTATTTTTACTATCTCAGATGATGCATCAGTTACGTGCAGTGTATGGAGAATGGTTGTTGGAAGATGGTTGTTGGAATTTTGTGGTTGATCGTTTCAAAGGAGCAAGATTGTTTTTATTGAATGAAGATTCAACACATGCTAAACTTGTGGCAATGGCTCAAGAAGATTATAACCTGGACATGAGCACAGTCACTGTGGAGATTAGCTACTCATTACCAGCTCCAGACCTTCCTCCTATTCATGTTACAAGTGATAGACAAGTTCGAAACTTGCTCGAGATAACCAAAACGCAAGAAGTACGTCTTTGTGTATCAAGCTTTTGCAAGATGAGAATGGTTTCAGAGGAAAGGGATGAAGCTGAGGATGCAGCTGATGAAGCTGATGTGGGGGATGAAGATCAGGAGGGGGATGTAGCTGAGGATCATGATAGGGAGGAGGATGCTGACATCCCTGTTGTCGCTGAAGATTTTTATGATCCTGAGGATTACAGTCAATTTGGAAAGGTTAAAGACGAGGATGAGGAAGAAGATGATGAAATTTGTTTTGAAGATTACGGAGAGGCATATGGCTNGGAAAAGGATCATCTGCAGAAAGAATCTATGTAAACCAGAGTTTTACTAGCAAGGATGCACTGCTTTCAGAGTTGCGGTTGAGCGCGGTGAGGCGCAGGTTCTCCTTCAGAGTTTACAAGTCAACAAAAACTCTCTTTGTGGCAACATGTCGGGTTAGTGGTTGTCAATGGAAGATCAGAGCAAGTGTGAAACATGGGATTAAGACGTTTTGGGTAACCAAGTATTTGAAAACTCATACATGTTCCACTGGAGACAGAATCGCTGGGAGGAAACACTC